AGAACAAACATTAAAGAAGTGACTAACTGCATCAGTTAGGGTTAAACGTGTATTCAGCTCAAACACATCGCTGCAGTTATTATCCAGTGGAAAGCCCTTACCTGCTGGCAGTTAAATCAAAGTGGTTACTTTTTTTTGGCAGGGCAGTGTAGTTTTACACACCGTCTTATTTGACTTTCTCAGGACTTGAAACAGTTTTTTGGGGGCAGACCCCCACAAAGAAAAAAATATATACACACATACAAGGTCATCTTAACAGTTTTGTATGCTCATCTGTGAGCAGAGCATCAAGTTGGCATAGGCCTAAACAAATGATTGTAGGCCTAGTGCATTCACCACGAATCATTTTTTGTGCCCACAACTTCAAACCTCTCCCTCAAGTAAGGCCATGGATGCGGGATGTCTTGCTGGAGGTCTGATGACTCGCCTCCTCGATGTTATCTTCATTTTCAGTCCTGTCGCTGACTGTACTAGCGTTACTCTTGGACATTATGCCGTTAACAATAACGTCTTGAAGTATGTTTTCCTGATCATACTTGAATACTTTTAATCAAGTACAATTTTCAATGCGGTACATTTTCTTACAATGTAGTATTCGTACTTCTACTTAAGTAAAGGATATGAATACTTCTTCCCCACTCACTGATTGACTCACTTATATTGAGCTCATAAAGCTCTTGCTATAAGGATCCAAGAATTTATATACAATAATGTCATTGTTAGCTAATGAATGTTTCCATGCTGAACAACGGCAACATGACAACGTTTTCATTGGTCCCATCTTCTTTAGAGAAAGACCAGGAAATGATGGATACACGGATCGTGTTCAAATCAATAGGCACGCAATGGACTCTAAATAATAATGATCACGCCACCAAACACACATTCAACTAAAGGAACCAGCCTGTTTGGAAAATGAGAGAAGTAGAAGTACAGGTATTTGGGTTCAACATGTAAGAAGTAGAAAGTACAGGTATTGAGTTCAACATGTAAGAAGTAGAAAGTACAGGTATTTGGGTTCAACATGTAAGGAGTAGAAAGTACAGGTATTTGTGTTCAAACTGTAAGAAGTAGAAAGTACAGGTATTTTGTGTTCAAAATGTAAGAAGTAGAAAGTACAGGTATTTGTGTTCAACATGTAAGAAGTAGAAAGGACAGGTATTTGTGTTCAAAATGTAAGAAGTAGAAAGTACAAGGTATTTGTGTTCAAAATGTAAGAAAGTAGAAAGTACAGGTATTTGTGTTCAACATGTAAGAAGTAGAAAGTACAGGTATTTGAGTTCAACATGTAAGAAGTAGAAGTACAGGTATTAGTGTTCAAACATGTAAGAAGTAGAAAGTACAGGTATTTGGGTTCACATGTAAGAAGTAGAAAGTACAGGTATTTGTGTTCAAAATGTTAAGAAGTAGAAAGTTACAGGTATTTGTGTTCAAAATGTAAGAAGTAGAAAGTACAGGTATTTGTGTTCAACATGTAAGAAGTAGAAAGTACAGGTATTTGTGTTCAAAATGTAAGAAGTAGAAAGAAAAGTACAGGTATTTGTGTTCAAAATGCAAGAAACGAAGTAGAAAGTACAGGTATTAGTGTTCAACATGTAAGAAGTAGAAAGTACAGGTATTTGGGTTCAACATGTAAGAAGTAGAAAGTACAGGTATTTGGGTTCAAAGTGTAAGAAGTAGAAAGTACAAATACCTGAAAAATCTACTTAAGTACAGTAATGAAGTATTTCTACTTATACTACCATCAATTTTTCACATCTGCTCCAGACAAACCCAAAGCTATACCAAGGACGTGTGGAGCCAGGTTTCCTGAATATGACTTAAGCCTCTGTTTCTTTCTTACTTTACCCAACTTACGTACTTTACACCACAATTACCTGCCCACCTGTACACCTGACAGTACATGTTTTACAAATGTTCCAAAACCAGCACATCTGGATCCAGGTTTCCTGAATATGTCCTTCAGAAAAAACTTGAATTAAGCCTCATTATCTTTCTAACTTAACCGAACTTCAGTTTTTCCTCTTTATTTATTTCACTTCAATTACCACAGCTTCTTTATTTCTATAAGATATGCAATGGAGTTTGCCATTTTGGGGATTTGAACCACATTGGGAGATATTTACTCCTCGCGCCAAATACACCCAGATATTTTTCATCAACATTTTACTGCCTGTGCTCATTCGTATATTAGGGTTTGAATGGGATTTGATTACATTACATTACATGTCATTTGTTAGACGCTTTTATCCAAAGCGACTTACAATCCCCACAGGAGCAGTTTGGGGTGAAGTGTCTTGCCCAGGGACACAACGACATGCTGACTGCAGTGGGACTCGATCTTGCTATCCCCTGATTCAAAGTCCACATTTGTTCAAACTCATCACAGGAAGTCCAATTGTTTACATCTGTTCAGAAAACACAAGGCTACCATCTGGAGTCAGGTTTCTTTAATATGTCGTTTAGAAACAATGGCATTAAGCCTCTGTACCTTTCCAACTTTACCAAACTTCAGGTGTTTTTCCCATTTAAAAAAAACAATCCATTCAAACAACAAAACGGTTATATCTTGATTTGGACTTCATCATTTCTGAGCAACAGCCCATTACAGTCTGTGGCTGAGAGGAAGAGCTGTTGTCTTTGAGGTGGTTCAATCCCAGCAGTTATCATGTTGATTTATCCTAGTGTGAATTGTGCTGCTTGTTAAATGTGTGTGTGTGATCTCACTGCTATAGTGGAGAAGAGCTTCAAAACCAAAGACCTCAAACCTGTTAGAAATCCCATCCATTACACTCCTTTTACTGAGTTTTAGGTAGCAGCAAAACCTTTAATAGCAACAACATTTTTGACGCTAATAAACATGTATATATGGCTCTTGAGGTGTGAAGTGAAGTGTACATCTTGCGCTAAATATCGCCCAATATCACCTACCTACCTACCTACCTACCTACCTACCTACCTACCTATCTATCTATCTATCTATCTATCTACCTACCTATCTATCTATCTATCTATCTACCTACCTACCTACCTACCTACCTATCTATCTATCTATCTATCTATCTATCTATCTACCTACCTATCTATCTATCTATCTATCTATCTATCTATCTATCTATCTATCTATCTATCTATCTACTATCTATCTATCTATCTATCTATCTATCTATCTATCTATCTATCTATCTATCTATCTATCTATCTATCTATCTATCTATCTATCGTTGAGACTGAAAAGCTAAAGAAGACTACATTTCCCATGAGCACTACAGAGGAAGTGCGTCACCGCTTTTATCATAAAGCATGCTGGGTAACCTCCCCTCTCTCTTTCCGGCTGGTACGCCATCATGTAAGCGAGTTTTTCTGAATTTCTACAAAACGTAATCCATTAAAATCATTAAGAATCTAACTTCATCTGACTGTTTTGCTTAGGGTAATATCTAACAACATACTAACCATCCTTAAGCCATGATTATTTGTTGAAAAACATTGTTAAAAACACAGATTTAGCTCTGTTTTTGCTGTGCTGTGTTGCAGTCTGATAGCGGTTTACACTGCCGACCAGCGTTGCTAAGCTAATGTGATAGCATGCTGTCTGTATATGTGTGTAATATAACTATGTCTTCGCGTTATAACCCATTTTTACACCCAACTGCTTTTGTATTGTAGTATTTGTGAGTTTACCTTAATTCATACAATCCGGTGAAGCAGCACTGAGCTACGTAGCTAACATTAGCATGCTAGCTTTCTAAGAAGCATGGACTCCTTTTCCTTAATGATTTTACACATTTTCACAGTGTTTTTAAATTGTTTTGACACCTGGGTCGCCGTACCATTTGTTATGTGTTTAAAAGCCGGTTTAAAGTGACTATGAAAATGTGTTATGGCAATGTGGACACCGAGTTGTTACCACTCATGTACATAGTCTTATTGGTGGTGGAAAAATGTAAAAATACTTTATTACAATTAAAAGTCCTGCATTCAAAACATTCAGTAATATTTATGGGTAAAAATAACTTAATGTATCCTAACGTTAAGTGCAGAAAAATAGCTTATTGTGTATATCATTATTATACATGGTACATTACTAAATAATATTAGTGCATCAAGTAGCATTTTACTGTTGTAGACGAAGTTGTGATGGACTTTTTGTTAAATATTTTGACTCTTTTCTAACTAAAAATGTTTGTTTTTTATAGGTACATTTTGTCAAAAGTAGTTAAAGCTGTTAATAAATGAAGTGGAGTTAAATGTAGTGAAGTAGCATAGAATTGTGCATTCGTAAATGTACTTGGTTTCTTCCCACCTGGTCTTGAACCATGTGCTGTTATGACTTGATTCACAAGTTTTAAAATGTATTTAAAAAGCCCTCCTTTGTACATGAGCAAGGCATCAGCTAGTCAAAGTAGTAACATGCATGCTCTCGTGGTATAAAACTTTGTAGTGTTGCTTAGCTTCAACTTATGTTATCATGGCTACATCTGAAGATGCATGCTGTCCTATATTACTCCCCTATAATGTGTTTCTTTTATTGCATCAAGAAAATGTCTAAATTAATAATAATAATACACTTTATTTGTATGGCACCTTTTGTGCACTAAGCAGCCCAAAGTGCTTTAGAGAATAAGAAGAAAACACAACAACAATATTGAAATAAATGCAAAATAAAACATCAGCAGTGATCCTAATGAAATTCCCTTGAAGTAAAGCTGAAAGGAATTCAAAGAGGTGGGCGGTGATGAAACTTCCTATGCCAACTGTATTACTTGATGATAAAGAGGCTGTTTCTGAGCTCTAACCTGGACGAATGAAATATAAAAATAGTCGAACTAACACTTGTTTCTCTTCTGCAGTTAAATCAACAATCTTCTTATCATATATGTAGTTGAAGATGCATGCTGTCAAATATCAATCCTCTATCATGTACATCTTATCTGCATCATGACAAATGTGTAATGACATGCAAAGAAGTCTAACTATCACTTGTTTCTCTTCTGCAGTTAAGTCAACATGGGAGCATATAGGTATATGCAGGAGTTATGGCGCAAGAAGCAGTCCGATGTGATGCGCTTCCTGCTGCGTGTTCGTTGCTGGCAGTACCGCCAGTTGTCCAACCTGCACCGTGCGCCCCGACCCACCAGACCTGACAAGGCCCGCAGACTCGGGTACAAGGCCAAGCAGGGTGAGTGTGATATTAACCCGTCATTTGTGCATAGCTACAGTGTAGTGTTGTCAATGGAAATCTGAGGTCACAGGCTCTTCCAACAGAGAAACACAAAGAAACAGATAAAATAGTGCAAGAAGAGACAGACTCGGTTATAAAGCCAAGCAGGGTGAGTGTGTTTTAAACCCAAATTAACCCGGAGCTTCATCTGCTAAATCCAGTATGTTCACCTTTTCAGGCTGACAAATAATCAGAGGTTAATATTTTAAAAGAACATAATATCTGTCAAGAGCCTAAAAACCAGGAGGTGCAATTTTATGTGAGAGGGAAGCTGGGGCTGAAACGCATACAAACCAAAAACAATAATGCAAACTACAGTTTCATGGTTTGGTTAAATGCATCCATCTGCTGCGTGTCTGCAAGACTCACAGCTCTGTCATATGGAAAATGGCTACAGTGTAGCTTTTCGAAATGACCATTTTGATTCACAAGTTTAAAATGTATTTAAAAGCCCTCCTTTGTACAAGAGCAAGGCATCAGCTAGTCAAAGTAGTAGTAGCATGCATGCTCTCATGGTACACAACTTTAAAACGTTGTAGTATCTGTAAAAAACTTCAAGTGTTGCTTAGCTTGACTGGCTGATGTTATCATGGATATAACGGAGGATGCATGCTGTCCTATATCAATCCTCTATCATGTATTTCTTTATTGCAACAAGAAAATGTGTAATAATACACTTTATTTGTAAAGCGCCTTTCGTGCACTAAGCATCCGAAGTGCTTTACAGAACAATAATCAGAACCTAAATGTGCGTAGTTACAGCAGGACAGAGCCACAGACAGCTTAATGTTACATATGTGACATGCATATATTTTTTTAAGTACTAAGTTATGATATAATAAAAAATATATAATAAAAAAAGTTACATAATTTAAAAAAATACACATCCTGTAACAGTTCTTAGGATTTAGCAGCCAGGTGTATATTAGTTATTAACTGCATCTATATATATATTGCACATAGGTGGTTGGTATTTAACAGCAGCAAGTTACACAATTTGCAAAATACACACCTTGTAACAGTTCTAAGGATTTAGCAGCCAGGTTTATATTACAGTTATTAACGGCATTTATATATTGCACATACTGCACAGTTTGTTGGTATTTTTTATTTAGCCTTTATTTATACAGGTGTAAAATCTCATTGAGACACAAGGTCTCATTTTCAAGAGAGACCTGTTTAGCAGCAAGGGGTGATATAGTGTGTGTGGGAGGGGGTCAACTAGGGGCTGTGCTGGTTGTATAGAAGAAAAACATAACAATAATATTAAAATAAATACAGAACAAGATAAAACATCAGTAGTGATCCTAATGAAATTCCCTTGAAGTAAAGCTGACCAGAAGGTGGGCGGTGATGAAACTTCCAATGCCAACTGTATTACTTGATGATAAAGAGGCTGTTTCTGAGCTCTAACCTGGACGAATGGAAGAAATTAAAATGAAACAAATTATTGTGCAATAATTAGAACACTACCTTGCGCGCAATGTCCCACAGACATCAGTAGTTGAATGCAGTGTTGAACATGTCCCACAATGCATCTCATTTTGTGACATGCGCACTGAAGAGACTTGCAATTATTTGCCCTAGACTTCTGCTTTCAGACGTAGTTCATTATGAAGTTATTACCCTATCCGATAATGATCCAATGCAGAGGCAATAATGTCATATGTATGTTTATATAGTCTTAAAGTCACAACCGGCCCTTTGAGTGCAACCATAATGCTGATGTGGCCCACGATGAAATAGATTTTGACTCCCCTGTTCTTCACACTGTTATCTACGGGTTCTTTGCTCATTGTGTCTTTGTTTCATTCCCTCAGGTTACGTGGTGTATCGCGTCCGTGTGCGTCGTGGTGGTCGTAAGAAGCCCGTTCCTAAGGGAGCAACATACGGTAAACCCGTTCATCACGGAGTCAACCAGATCAAGTTCGCCCGCAGCCTGCAGTCCACCGCTGAGGTACGAACATTTTATCAGACTGAAGTGAACAAATAAAATAGTACTAGTGCAAGAAGAGTCTATATACAAGTAGATGGAATGATATATTAGATAAATAATTAGCAAAATGCAAACCTATGGATGTTGTTTCAAAGTTCAGGTGTTTCATAGGCTTCTGGCCTGTGGAATAAAACTCCCTGATTCTGGTGGTTTTAGACCTGATCAAGAGATAGCACGCAATTAGCTTTAATAAGTGGGAACTTCGGACTTGAATACTATTCAAATTTGCTAATTATATCACACACAAACCTTTCAGATTGAAAATCACCTTACATTCACATTTAAACTGTTATTGTAGCATGAAGCAGCAACTTGTAGCTAACTGTATGCTAGCTTACTGAGGTGAGAAAATACTATTGGCATTAGAAATCCATAAAGCTTTGTACAATGCCTTAAGAAATAAGCTAATTTATTACAAAACTACAGGCATGTAGATCTAAAATAGTGCGAGAGAATGAGTCGTGTTCACTGGTTTTATAATGCTCTGGGTCTCAATCTGACCTTTAATGCTATCAATTTTTGTTTAGGTCTGAACGGCTAAGGGTTGAAGATGTTGACTATGGACATTTTCTACTAGGATATATTTTACCTACACGGCACTCAAAATACTCAATTTATCTCAAGATTCCCACTGATTTGAGATGCTCTCACACTCCCAAACAGAAATACCATGGCCATGTTCTGTATAAAGGAAGTGCAGTATAGAGAGGCGAAGTCCCGCCCATCTACTTCCGACCCATGGGACCTTATTTCGGAAAAAATATGTATTGAAGTCAATGGGGAGAGAAAACGTATCTATCGATCCCGTTTGAATTGTGCCACGAATTACACATATGATGTTTGTCAATCTTAAAAAATTATTTCCATGTCAAAAAAGTCAGTTTGTTGTAAAACTGTTGAAATATAAGACTATGAAAAATAGGCAACTAGAAAGACTACAAATCCCAGAGTCCCGGTCCCGCATGCTGGCTCTTAGGAACCGACTAACTCCCCTTGTGTGTATGTGCAGCTCTCAACATGCCCAGACTTGGAGTGATTTTCACCTCTTTTAATACTTTTCACCTCATTCTGAAAGAAAGAGGTGAAATGTGCCAACGTGACGGCCGTCTTGGTGTGTGGTGCGAGACGGGAGATGGAGTTCATTGAGCGGTTTCACACAAAAAAAGTGTTACTTCAGTTTTACGACATTTTTTTTTTTGGACTTGTAAAATTATCTTTTCATTTCAATCTTTATTTCGAACAGATTAAAAAATAACAAATGTAAAAAAACAGAATACCGTATTGTTAAAAAACAGAATACCGTATTGTTAAAATACAGTATTTATCCACATTCATGATAATATTTATATATTCAACAAAAAAAGTCTTCATATTAATAATAATAATTAAAAGAAAAAAAATCATGTGTCCGAAAGGGAGTAGGAGGAAGCAAATGCTTATTAATTCCCACCCCTTACTTGATCAATGATTGTCCTTTAAGTCATTATGCAAGTTATTCCTACTTACATTTACATTTATACATACATATACAATAATTTCTCATCTTCAATCACCTCTCTTCATTCTCATAGTTTTCCAAGAAAGTGTTTCTGTACATCCTTTTAAACTGAATTATGTGCAAATTGACAAACATCATATGTGTAATTCGTGGCACAATTCAAACGGAATCGAAAGATAATCTTTCTCTCTCCATTGACTTCAATACATACTTTTTCAGAAATAAGGTCCCATGGAGGAAAGGGAGGGACTTCGCCTCTCTATACCTATTTGCATATCATTGGAATAATCATAATGTTGATGGAGCTGTCTAAAAAGTGACACCAACAGTGTGGGATTTGATTTAAATAATGGGTGCCTGACACTAAAACTGAGTTTAAATTAATGTAATGTCACTGCAGCTTTTATATGGAGCTAATGACACTTTCACAAGTCAAACTCTCACATTGTTTTGACGGCTGTTTTTCAGACATTTGACATGTTGCTGTAGGAAAATCTAAGATAATTTGTTGTACGGTGCGTTCCAGCTCAATTACAGGAATTACTGTGACACTTAACTATTTAGTTTAGTTTATTTAGTTTATTTATTTATTTCGAGCGTGTAAAACCAAAGAAAATACAAATGAAACAAAAGGTGATGCAGTACTATACAAATGAATGCAATAACAAAACGAAACATTGAATTAATAATTGAATAATCTGTAGTATCATTGTCTGATATCAATAAACAATAAACAACAAAGCTTTAGCTAATTACACGTCCGAAAAGGGGTCGGAAGAAGTTTACACTTATTTAATCCGACCCCTTCTCCCTTTTTTTTTTGTTGTTTTTTTTGTTTACATCTTAATATATGTTAACATACAATATAAACGTATACTTATAATCTTGAATAATTGATATAATCATTCATATAATATATACAGGCAAGTTAGGACGGGATGAGGGGAAGGGTCTGCTGTTAAATCAGTTGTTAGTGAAAACTGCAGTGTATTAACCCTACTGTATTTAGTACAGAAAAGTGTAGATGTTCCTGATCACTGGCCACCATTGTATAACCACTGGCCCAAGAGCATTCGTCCAAAAAATCGACTCTAATAATGAAGAAAATTAACACATTTGTTGCAATAGTAATTTATGCACAAACATTACTACTTGTATTACAACATCAGTTCTTCCTCATTTTCCTCAATTGTTCTACTCTTCACTTACTTGTCAGCATGGGTCGGCATTAACGTACAGAGCCGACAAAAGACCGTGTTTATATCATCATATTGAAGCCAACTCCATCGATCCAAGCCAGTGTCGCTGAAACTTTCTCCTTCTTCTCACTCTCCTTTAACTCCTCCGGTGACTTGCTTTTATTTGAAGATTGTTTTTTGGCCGGTTACCGCTGGTTTTAAAAACATTTTGGTGAATGGTTAGGCGGGAAAGTCTGTAGTGAAGGAGTGCTACAAACGGCTGTTGTAGCGTTAATAAATTAAACAACATTGCTTGTCAAAATACCAACACCACAGGACAATGTGAATTTATGTCTTACTGTGTTTTTAACATTTTTAAACCAATATTTTTAGTGGCCCGAGCCGGAAAGTGCCTTACGCTGGCCCGAGGGGTCTGAATAGTGCTTCCGGGCCAGTGGGCCTTTTATGATGTTTAGCCCTGCTACCATGATACTTCTTCTCATTAACGCTTACGGAGGACTGACTTTAACCCTGAATTTCTCTCTTATTTCCCCAGGAGCGTGCTGGGCGTCACTGCGGAGGTCTGCGAGTCCTCAGCTCTTATTGGGTGGGAGAGGATTCCACCTTCAAGTTCTTCGAGGTTGTTCTGGTGGACATCTTCCACAAGGCCATCAGACGCAACCCCGACACCCAATGGATCACGAAGGCCGTGCACAAGCACCGCGAGATGCGTGGCCTGACCTCTGCAGGGAAGAAGAGCCGCGGCCTGGGTAAGGGCCACAAGTTCCACCTGACCATCGGAGGCTCCCGCCGCGCCGCCTGGAAGAGACGCAACACCCTGCAGCTGCACCGCTACCGATAGAGGGGCACTGCTCAGCCACAGAAATAAATAAACCCTTTTTATGGTCAAAAGAATGGTTTCTGACTGCGTTATTCATGAGCTAAACTGTCATTATTTCGTGCTAAGGATGTACGTGTGATTGACACTTGTGAGACACTGATTTGTCTGTAGGAACAACAATTGGGATTTGATTACAGGACTAATACAGTCTAAGCATCTTTATAATAACCTACCATATGTTCCAGATCAGGTCAAAGTGAGGTTTAAATAATGTTTAATTTGATAAACACAAGTTCCACCTGGAAGAGACTGCTTTATTTAAGAGATAAAGGTTGTTATTCATGCTAAGGATGCACACGTGATTGAGACTTGGGAGAGACATACGATACGATAATACTTTAATGGTCAGATCAAGTCTGAAATGTGACTTGTATCACAGCAGCTCCATGTGTAACATCAAGACACAATACATGAAAAACAAACATTTAACATAACTAGACACTAGAGGGAAGTCCCGCCCATCTACTTCCGCCCCATGGGACCTTATTTTGGAAAAATTATGTATTTAAGTCAATGGAGAGAAAACTATCTTTCGATCCCGTTCACATATGATTGTCAATCTTAAAACATAATTTCCATGTCGGAGTTTGTCGTAAAACTGTTGAAATACACTATTAAAAAATACGCAACTAGAAAGACTACACATCCCAGAGTCGCGTAAGTGATGTAATAACTGATGTCATTGTTTTCCTCCACTAAATAAGAGATAGCTAAGATAACTTTAACAAGATGCCTGTGTGCTTAGTACGAGGTTATCAAGGTTCAAGGTTCAAGGTTCTTTATTGTCAATCTGACATAGCTACAGAGTAATTATGCAGTTGAAAATCTTATGTCACAGGCTTCTCCAACAATGCAACATAATAACATAACATAACAATAAGAGCAAGAGCAATACAAAAATAATAATAGTTATAAAAATGAAATAAAGTTATGATGTGGAATAGTGCAGTATGAGTCTATATACAAGTTATTGGAATGATATATATATATTAGGTATTAGATACATACTACTGAGTAGCAGTTGAATGTTTGAAGTTGTTTCAACAGTTCAATTTTTTAACAGTCTCACTGCCCGCGGGAAGAAACTGTCTCCGAATCTTCTTGTCCTTGCCAGGATGCTGCGGTAACGTCATACCAGCAATGGGTCTTGCTCGTTCTTTCGCTTCCCGTCTGATGAAAGGACCAGGAGTGGCTGGATCAAGTAAGCTACCTAGCTAGTAGCAAGCACGTTAGTTAGCATTACACTACAGCCTTAGCCCAGGGTTGCCAACTCTCACGCATCTGGCGTGTGACACACGCTTTCACTCAAGCTCTCACGCTGCCCAAACTATTCTCAAGCCAAAAACAAGATGAACCGGCGATCGTTTTTGGTTGGTTATTTACAATGTTGAGTTGACAGCTGCTCAAGCTGTCCCCCACCACTCTTAACGTTAACAGACAGAGCAGTGGGAGCCGGTTGGTCAATCCCCGACCCGCATTGCGCATGCGCAGATCTAAGATCCAGTAGAAATGATAAAAAAGTAAAAGTCTGCTGCTTATTGTTCTACCAGGCCAAAATAGAGTCAAAGAGTATATGAGAGTGAGAGTGTGTTAATTAATATATTTGGCAGTTGAGTAAGTCTGTAGATTTGTTTGTGTGTGTTTCATGTATAGAAGGCCTCTCACGATAATACATTTTGTTGGATACATTTTCCCGGAAATTAATGCGATAAACGATAATATTGTCGGCACCGTTGTATGACCATTTTAGACCATTGACATAATGATAATATATAATAATAATTCAAGTACATCCTTTCAAACTGCTTGTCACATCCTCATGTAAATGGCAATTTATCGAGTTCATTTTTATTTATCGTAGTCAATTAATTGCTTATCGCGACAGGCACACAAAACAGTGGAAACAAACATGTGTTTGACTTTCATTAGTGAATGAAACGTTGTGCCCTTTATAGTCTGTGTCCAATATTGTGTATTTGTATATATTGTATATATATCCTATATATATGCTAAGGTCCCGCTGCTGCTCGCCAAAACCCGAGAGAAGAAGAAGAAGAAGAAGAAGAAGAAGAAGAAGAAGAAGAAGAAGAAGAAGAGGAAGAGGAAGAGGAGGAAGAAGAAGAGGAAGAAGAGGAAGAAGAGGTGAGTGGATTAAACACCTGCCGAGGTATTTACACCTGTTAGCTTAGTTTACAGTTAATCACGAATCAGAAGTTATCTTATTTAACACAACAGCTGTAATCTTGGAAGAAAGAAACTCACAAAAAAACTTAAAATGTGCGCCAAAAATAGTCTCAAATTATCTTTAAATAAAGGCTAAAAGCCATCGGCTAACAGCTAAAGTCTAAAAGCTATCGGCTAACAGCTAAAGTCTAACAGCTATCGTCTAAAAGCTATCGTCTAACGGCTAACAGCTACAGTTATTATTCCAGTTCGGCTCTGGGTGAGTAACAGTTGATTTGTTGTAATGCTCAGCTGACTTTATGTTAGTTATTTATTACACCAGTTGTCTTTAGACAGTTTGAGTTGTTGTGTTGGTGTCCTTTACCATAGATATGGTTTTAAATATATGCTAACTAGCTTATTAGCATCGCCATTCACCATGACGTAGCATTTTTCCCATTAAAAATGAATGGGGTTCTTCAGTTAGCAGCTAACGCTAAGCTAAGCGACGGTTTAGCTCATTAGATAAATAGATATACTTTATTTAAATAATGATTTATCTTAAACTGGGAAATGATTGTGTCACAGCAGAAGTGTTTTCAGGCATTACACGAGTTAAACATATTTAAAAGATGCAATAAGATCTAATAAAAATGAAGCATTAGCAGCAAGTTTACACACAGGACACATATCACTAGAGTATCTAAACCAGGGGTCACCAACCTTTTTTAGGGTGAGGGCTACTTTCACAAAATAAAACAAGTCGGGGGCTACTTTTGCTCTATTATTTGTTTTTTGCAGTGTATATAGGCCTATTTAGCACATTTTAACATTATTATATGCTTACCTGTAACCTTTGTGTGCTGTTTGGGTCTGTGGGACCCGTTTTCAGTGTTTACTAAAATAACATGTATTCAATTTAATTATTTTAACCTGCTTTATTTGGGGGTGGACCTCACTTCCTCTAGGGGGGTCCACACCTCCTCCAGGGGGGACCTCACATACTCTAGGGCAGGGGTCGGCAACCCCTGGCACGCGTGCCAGCATTGGCACGCGGCACCGTAGCCAGTGGCACACTAGGAATAAGTCGAATAAGTGTGCAAAATATTTAAATTGTATTTTCGGATCCTGAACGAGACCGCCGCCAGAGCGCGTCTCCCTGTTACCTGCAGAAGGAAGCCATGCACGCAATGCAGCCCCGCTCTCTTTAACTCCAGGTGACTTTCTGCCGCTTTCCTCCGTGGTGCAGTGCTGATCGTTTCACCACGGAAGAAAGCACTTCACAAATTGCAGTACCCATAAGGAGCTTTACAAATGTCGCAGTTTTTGCGTGGCTGTGTCTTTAGTTGAAAGCCCAGTGGCGATCTGCTCATCTCTCATTGAAATAATATGCTACAAAGGGGCGGACTGGCCATCTGTGTGTTGAACTTTCCTGTCGGCTCCCAGACCGTAGTCGAGGAGGGCAGAAGCAACAAGCTTCAGGTTCAATAACCCACTTTAGCTTAAATGACTGGAGAGAGGCGAGCTCTTCTTGGGAGGCCGTTGCATTTATTTAGCTGTTCTTCTGTTTCACAAAATACATCACAGACCTCTGTTTTTCTGCTGCCTCGTTTCACTTCCAGAAACATACTCACACGCACACGCCACACCCCTCTCTCTCTCTCTTAAAGGGACAGCGATCTCATCTCACTCTGCATGACCCTAATATCATAACATGTGTGTTCTGGAGAATCACAGAACGGACGATCGTCCTTATTATTATGCCGTTTAAACCAATTATTTAAATGTGTTTGTTAAATTCGGCATCATGTAAGTTGCGCTGACAGGTCCACACACTGCTTCCCCGCAGCGAGGCCCCCCCGCCCTCCTGTTGATAGATCACGAGCGTCAAGCTCCTCAACATCCTCAACAGCACCCCCCCCCCCCCCCCCCCCCCCCCGTTGATAATTCTCGATCGTTGGCACGCTGATAATTTTTTTTTTTTTAAATGGCACTTCATATCAAAAAGGTTGCCGACCCCTGCTCTAAATAGTACTTAAGTACAGTACTTGAGTAAATGTACTTAGTTACTTCTCACCTCTGCTATGAACCTACGAAGTAGCTGTAGATTAGTTTTGTTGTGTCTGTCGTAGGGCTGCTCAATTAATCGTATTTTAATCGCGATTACAATTATGGCTTGCATCGATTACGAAAACAACGTAATCGAAATAAAACGATTATTTTATTATTATTACTTTTTTTTTTTTTTTTGGTTTTTCAGTTGAATTATACTTAAAGTTCAGGGTAATCAACTGTTAAAAACATACTGTTAAAAAAAAATGTCTCCAATAAATGGATGTTTTCAAAGTAAATGAATAATCGCATTTAATAATCGCAATTACAATTATTGACCCAAATAATCGAGATTATGATTTTTTCCATAATCGAGCAGCCCTAGTCTGTCGGTTGTATTGAGTTGTCTTGTTTTGTGTCAGCTGTAGTTGTGTTGATTATTTCAGAGACCCAGCCGGAGAAGGAGCACTGAGAGCAGCATGGAGGAGAACAAAAAGACCCCTGGAGCTCAGGTCAGTGTGCACTTCATCACAATATATTCCTAATTCCAGCGTTTCCGCCAGGCGGGCGTCTTGCCGTCATTTGACGCCCTTATTCAGCTCGGAACGCCCTGAACTCGAGCCGAGGGCGTCCAAAAGAGTTTTTATCGCTTGAAATGACGAAAAGGAAAAAGGACAAGGACATCCCGCTGTTGGAGGGGCAAAGGAGTCTGGTGGGATTCTTTTCACCGCCAGCAAAGCGTGTTCCTGTGACGAAAAGTGTACTGCCGGCAAGCCTTGACGGGGGGTGCTAGAGGAGC